AACTCAACAAACATCACAAGTAAATAACATATATTTTTTTATTCTCTTTCTCGTAGAGAAGAGTCCACTAAGAATAAATTGTTTGCTTGCTTGTCTGTCCACAGGGTCAAAAAAACATCGAAAATCAACTTTTAGGAAAAGACATTTCTAGGTGTATTTCGATGCGGGGAGTTCGAATCTAGAGTCAGTTGGGTGACCACGGTTAGGGGTGAGTGGGTGTGGGTAAAAGGTCAAAAAAACATCGAAAACTGATTTTTCACGGTTTTCATTTGTTTCTCCGTTAAATGCGAAGAAAATGCATTTCTACGAGAAAGAGCTAAGCGAGTCCTCGGAGGAGCGTTACTTGTTTTTATTAAATCTAAATATTCTTCTATTTTATTTTTTTTTAAAGACAACTAGTGAAACAAATCTATTATTAGATCCTGATGTTATAACAGATACATCAACCCAAGCATTATTATTAACAGTATTAGCAACACTTGTACGTAATACATCTGATGAAAATGAAATGAGAATTATTTATGAATATTTATCGGAATCAAGTATTGTTTTTCCAAAAGTATTTCCAGTTATACATAATTTATTAGATGCAAAAATCAATTCTGTACTTTCACTATCACATGATGAATCAATTTTAGCATCAGTACAATCAATAATCTATCAAATGATTGCTTGTTCAGCTGGTGATGATGCTAGTCAACAACAACAACAACTTAGTTATTTACAATCATGTGGTTTTGGAGGTTTATGGCGTTTTGCTGGACCATTTACTGTTTCAAGACAAAATCCAGATAATGTCGAATTATTTGTTAATTGTTTAGAAGCTATGGTTGAAACATGTTTACCATCATTAGATGAACATGAAGATGGATCAGAAAGTGGTATTAATACTGGAAATGGTTTATCAGGAAACAGTGGAACACGACATACATCTTTACATCATCATCATACATTTAGACATCATCATCATTATTCAGCATCATCAGCAGCTGCTTGTCTTAATGCGAATTTATCTTCGTCAATGTCTAGTGTTTCAATGGGTAAGATCTTTTAATATTTACTTTCACTTTTGATACACTGAAAACTAAATTATTATGTTTTGTTCTTCTTCTATAGATTCAATTCGTTCACCAACTGATCGTGATGCTCAATTTTTTGATTTAAATGATCTTAATCGACCAACACAATCTCAATCGCAAAGTAATACGTATAGTCGATCTCGTATAATACAAAAACCAAATCTTATTTAAATAATTGTTGTATTGTCATGTATATTCTAGTCGTTATATACGTTGTACATTATATACAAAAGAAAAAATTTTCTCTATATATTTCTAATTATTCTATTTATTTATTTTCTTTTTTTTAAATGTAGTATTTTAATGTTTATCAAAATAATAAATAAATAAATAAATTTTATCAAAACAAAAACAAAAGAAAAATTTCCTTTAAAAGACAATGAATTTGTTAGAGTTTGTTGTTATTTTTTGCTGAAGTAAAAGTATATTTTGTAACGATAGTCGCATTGCACTTTTTGAAATAATTTTTCTTTACAAGTCATTATAATCATTGGTCAAGATCTTGTTATTTCAACACTATTCAATACACAGTATTTTACAGTTTAGCATTCTTGTAAAAACAAATTTGAGGTCCGATACGTATTAAGTATCAAAACAAGCACTTTTATTTACTGTTTCAGTCAAAATTACAACAAAAGAAAAATATGCGCATATAATCAATACTAGCTATGTGTTTACCATCGAAATATATTTAATACTAGTATTTATGATTCCCTCGCACTTTCATTGCGATTAACAAAATTATAAATTTCAACTAAAGCGTCGCTTGTTATTCCATTGCCTAGGAGATCTATCATGGTAAGTGTCTAAATAAAAAAATTGTAGGTAAAAATATGGCATAGATGAGGAGAGAATAGGAAATACTGTATTGTGTCGTAATGCATCAATCAAATGTTGTGCTCCAACATCTCCAATTCGACATCCTATGAGATCTAGTGTGGTGAGTGTCTAGATGGAAAACTGCAGATAAACATAGCATATTGAAGACAGAACGAGAATTACTGTGTTGTGTCGAAGTGCATCACTCTGATGTTGTGCCCCCAGATCTCCAATTTGATTATATTCCAAATTTAGTGTAGTGAGTGTCTAGATGGAAAAATAAAAGTATACATATAGTACAAATGAACAGAATGAAAACTACTGTATTGTGTTGTAATGCATCACTCAAATGTCGCACTCCAATATTTCCAATTTGATTATGTTCGAGATTTAATGTCGTGAGTGCCTAGATGGAAAAATACAAGTATAAATATAGTATAAATGAACAGAGAATGAAAACTACTGTATTGTGTAGTAACGTATCACTCAAATGTTGTGCTCCAACATCTCCAATTTGATTACGTGGTAGATTTAGTGTTGTGAGTATCTAGAAGAAAAATTGTAGATAAAAACATGATATAGATGAAGAGGAAATGAAAATTACCATATTATGTCGTAATGCATTACTCAAATGTTGCGCTCCAACATATTCGATTTGATTATATTCGAGATTCAGTGAAGTGAGTGTCTAAATAGAAAAGTGTAAGTAAAGACTATAGGTATAAATGAAGAGAGAACGGCAATTACTGTGTTGTGTCGTAATACATCGCTCAAATGTTGTACTCCAATATCTCCGACATGATTATGCTCAAGAATAAGCGAGGTGAGTGTCTAGATAGAAAGATACAAAGTCAAGACGTGGTATAAACAAAGTGAGAATGAGAACTACTGTGATGTGTTGTAATGCACCACTTAAATGTTTTACGCCAATATCTCCGATTTGATTATATTCGAGATCTAGTATGGTTAGTGTCTAGATGAGAAAGATACAAATATAGACATAGTATAGACGAAGAGAGAATGATAATTACTCTGTTATGTCGTAATATATCACCCAAATGTTGTGCGCCAACATCACTGATTTCATTAAATCCAAGAAATAGTGAGGTAAGTGTCTAGTTAAAATAACGGAGGTAAAGAGGCGATATAAACTAAGAGAGAATAAAATTTACTGTTTTGTGTCGTAATCCATTAGCCAGATGTTGCATGCCAATCTTTCCGATAAAATATCTCGGGAAATATAGTGTTGTAAGTGTCTAGGTGAAAAAGTGTAGGTAAAAACCTAGTACAGATGAAGAAACAGAATAGAGTTAGATCAGTGAAATGAATGCTGTTCTGACTCTGAATATTTCTATGATTTTAGATGTTGTACAGTCGTCAAGATTATCGCGTGAATAGTTAGGTTAAAAAGAGTTTACTGAGGATGACATATGAATGACAGTTTTTTTTATCTATCAGTTGACATAAGTTTTAAGTGTTTGTAAAAGAACCCAGATTTCTACTAAATGAGTAGTAGTTTGTAAATTAGTTTTTTCCTAAAACAGTTTTGAAGCGTTGGATTGTGTTCTCAAAGCGCAGTATAGTGCACTTGGCTTCACTCATGTGAATGATTTGTAAGAGTGTGAGTACTGATTGATGTCGATGAGAGTATCGGATTGTGTGTATGAAACAATATGGGCTTATAAAAAGTGAAACATAAAACAATCCATCTCATAATATTAGATTCATTCTAAGTAGAAGACCCATACATACTAAAACGCCCTATATAGAGTATATCTTTCGAATTGTCAATCTCGTAATGAGTCATCCGCGAAGTTTCGTCCTTGAGAAAGTGTGCTTTAGGTGAAATGCGTTTTGAAGGAATTATTCTGTGAAAATTTGTGCTTTAGATATAATATTCTGAACGAAATGGTTCATCTTAATAGTATGAATGTGGATATTATTGTATGTCAATCTTCTCTCTATCCATATCCATCGTCACCTCTGTCTGTAGTCACACACGCTCCCACAAGAGCATTGATCGAAGATATTTCTCAAGAGAATTTTCAGGATGTTATTTTATTATCGAAATCATATGAAAAAAATATTTAGAAACATATAAAAAAAGAAATATAATAAAGCTTTTTTATTTTTTTATGTTCTTATCGAAATATCGTATATTTATTACATCATACCTGCTTTTACATGTGAAATATTTGTATGAGACTGAGAAAAAAGAAAGACAGAAATTATTTTTTTCTGCTTGTCATAATACAGAAGTGAATTTTTGAGAGATATAACTTCGTTTGAATGACAAATAGTGTATTCACATATATATCTTATTGAAGTATTATTCAACTTAAATAGAGATTGTAGGAATGAAAGTAATTTAATAGTCAGGAGATATAAATTAGCCTGTGATAACAGCAAAAAAGCCTACCTGATATCGATAGTGCGTATCTAAGATACTGTTGAATCGTTGACACACGTTTCTCATTGAACATAGAATTGTAAAATCCGATTGATGATCCAGAATTCGGTAGACAAGTTCTACCGGTAACGTAAGAAAAGTGACAACATTTTGATTTGACATTGCAGATTGTTACTAAAATGTGTGTTATGTAGATTTATATGTTGGTTGTATGATATATACTGTTCTTTTTCTTATCATTGAATGAGTTGATATTTGTTTTATGTCACAGATATCGCACGAGGTTGTTATAATATCTTGAAAAAAAGCGACAAAGAATGATATCAACTACAAAATGACAGAATGGACAGAACAACTTTACACAACGTTTTTTTTTAAACTGTTTTAGCGATATAGAATAATAGTTAATAGACATGAATATTGTGTTCTCGTTTATAATCAGAAATTATTAAGTGACTTTGTTATTTTTATTGCACACCCACACCCTCTTCATTACTCGAATCAATACCTTCTCATACTGAGAAATCATTGCAGTAGAAGATAATTATGCATACAAAAGTAAAGGAAATAATATATATCATCTGATATCTTTAAAATCTTATATTTTTATTATATTCTTAATTAATTATAATTTCTGCAATGAAAAAATTGTTACTTCTTAGAATAAAAAAAAAGCGCACAAGTATAGTTCTCTATTGATGTTGTATTATTTTTCGTTCATTATAAATGGCTAAAAGTAGATTTCTTAATTCTGTCTTGAATTTTTCTTGTACATCTGCTATATAATCTTGAGCTGTGGAATATTGACCGATAGGCATTCGAATCGTTTTTCCATTGATATCACTGCCAATAGACAATGTCATTACACTTCCTTCTTCGCTACAACTTGCTAAACACATGATAATTACAGAATAAGATGTGGTCGTTCTTCCGCGAGTGAAATGATACGTAAGTACATCATGATTATGACGTTCATTGATTGAACTATGTGGATTATAAACCCATATGCAGTGTCCATCAGACCATTCATATTTATTTTGTCCATTGTCCAAGAAATGTTTCTTTGCCTGATAGAATGCTTCTGATGCTTTTGCGAAGGCATCACGTTGAGTACTACTGGTTGCAATAGGTGGAATTGACACAACATCTGAGATCGATATCAATTCTTGAAAAATGCCATCAGCGGTATCTAGCTTAGGTTCGATTGGTGTCAGTAATTGAAGAATTGACTTTAATCGACATTCAAGATCATTAATCGTCCATGGATGATGGTGAGGATAGCCAAAAGCTCGATCAAATGTATCCATTAAATACATTTTTAAGTGTTCTTTCGGTACGATTTGTTGACTCATGTCTAAATAATACAAAAACATTATCTTATAGTCTAAAATATCTATACTATGAGGAATGAGTTGGTTACGTACCTACGAACTTGATGGTACTTTTGATCATGTCATCGAATTTTTCACGTGCTTGTTGATGAGGAAGTGCATCATTATCATGTTGAGGATCGATTTGTGTCAGTAACCAGAAAAGAATTGCACATATTGCAGATGGATCAATTGTTGAACTCAATCCTTTATCATCTATTTGTCGTGCATGGTACCATTTCTGTGCTGATGTTGTAACTGGTATGTATGTTCTGTCTGATACTATCGTAGCTTGATTGAAGTTCAATACAGTTAGTTGAGCACAACTAATTGAAACTTTTAAATCCCATTCGATCATAATATTTTCTGGCGATAGATTCAAATGGAATAATTCTTTTTTATGCACTTGTTGTATAATTTCCACTAGATTTAGAGTTAGTTGAATCGCTGTTGAAATTTGAAGAACACCTTGACATTTTCGTTCAATGAATTCTTTTAATGAATAACCAGGAGCTCGTTTCATAATCATCCATAAACAATCACTATTAATACATCGTTGAACGAGATTATTCGATAAATTTTCTGGTTCAATCAGCTGACATACACCTTTGACATCTACAACAGAAATGATTAACACGAATGTTGTTTTTAACTACTTTTCCTTACCTTTCAAATCTTTCATAATTGTTATTTCATGTTGAAAATTATTTAGAAATTCCTTTGGATAAGTCTTAATCACGGCGAGCTCTTTTCGATCCGCTTTACTACGTATTAATAATACCTTTTCATCACTGTTCGGTGCTTTTTTTGTTACTTCCCATTTATCTGTTGGTACATCGCTAGGCAATTTATTTGTTAGTGCATCATTAGGTAATTTATTTGTTGGTACATCACTACGTAATTTATCTGTAACAGAAAAAACCATTTGAGAACATGATTTCATTTCTGAAGAATTGAAACTTACATTTCATTTCGATGTTCGATGTAACATTACTAAGAGCTTTGCCACTAATACGACGATCTCTACCGATCTCTTTATTTTCTCTCGTCGTCCAGGTGGTACTATTTATATCTCCAAGATCAGATGTTTCTTGACAGCTATGAACACTGCGCGCATCGCGTGGACGACTACTAGAACGAGTTCGTTTTCGTTCTTCATCAATTGAACCTGCCTCGGAGCGAGAATTGTTATAATGAGCAGGCGATATTGGATTAATCTCTAATTGACAGCTAATTTTTTGACCATCTATATATTTATTATGCCATTTCGTCATCAATTGTTTGGCAAACTTCATAGTTTTGATGTTAACTACGTAACCAACGCAATCATGATTAGGATCGATATAATAAGTATGAGGTCCAAATCGTTGAGTAAGATATTGGGGTGTTACTCGTGCTCTAAAACCACTGATTTTTACTCGATAGTTAGTGTTCGTCGTTCGTATATCTAATGGAAAAAAGAAGATATTTTTCTCTATAGTTGTTGTCAAATCGAAATACAGTTAGAGTAGCAATTTGACTTACTACTCAGAGAAGTATCTCGTGACTTCATTCCGATTGGATGACCGTAAGGACAAGTCGATGCACAAACACCATTTGCCGTACATGGTATATGCATCCAATCACAGTCAGCATTAGTTTTTCGACATTGACCAAATTGATGGTGATTACATAATTCTAATTCATCTTCTTCTTTATTGCATTCGATAATAAATTCCTTAAAAGATTTTCTGTTCCAGCGTCGGACGAAATTGTTCACTTCCTCTTCATCATTGGCATTTTTTAGCCAACATTGTGTTGGTGAAGCTCGATCACCGACGGATGGCTTCATGACAATATCACAAATATCCCATTCAAATGCTTCGGATAAAGTCTCAGCATCTATATTTCTTGGTAAATTCGTAATATGAATACGATATCGTTTTTCAGGCAAATTAAGACATGTGACTTGTTCATCTAACGAAAAAAAACAGAGACAATTCGGATTTAAAAAAAATGTGTACACATACTCATTGTCACTTGTTTCAGATTCGATTTTTTTGGTATTACGCCAGTACTATTGATATTTTGAGTATTGAACGTCGGTTCTGCAGCAAATGACTGCCTACGTTGCATATCTCGATCACCTTTCTCAACACTGATATCGATTGATCCAATTCGATGTGGAGAATCTAACAGAACTTTGTCGACTGAATCATAACTGAATTAAAACCAACATAAATTTAAAAAACATCGGGTATTTTAGTACTTACTAATCAAACTTAATAATCCATTTTTTACCATCCATTGTCATATTATCGATTGTTCCATATGGAGCAAAATATTTTTTAAGCTGTAATTCGACTAATGGTTGATTGTTTAAACTTGAGACAATCAACTGTTGAATTTCAGGACTGTTCTTCCCCGATTTTTGTGACGGGACTGATCGATGAATGAAAACTTCTTGGCCATCAATTCGATGGATACGTTTTTCCATTACAGCATCAACACTTTCTTTTGTCGAAAACATAACTATACCATGCATTTTATTTTTACCTTCACAAAAGAAATAATAGATTTTCCTTTATCGGCGTCTCTTCATTTCTTACCTGTTTCATCACGCGGAACTGCACACCAATCAATTGGATATGAAGAAAAATAATCCTCTAATGATCGTTTTGTCGTTTCAGGACTTATACTCTGAATAAAAAATTTTCGTTTGTGTTCCTCAAGAGTCATTTCTGTTTTATACTACATCAATATTAAACAAGAAAAGTATTTCTTTATAGTAATCTCTCAATTCCATTACTTACATTTCTTGCCATTTTATATCTTCTATTACCTATAATAAGACTCTAAAATTTTTATATCTACAATGATAAAATAAAAATTATATAATAGTGAGCGTATGAACGTGGATGACTATTTTCAATTCAAAAGTACTCTTTCCTTTACTTTAATCTATACTTAGGGGTATTACTTTATCTTTATTTTATAAAGAATAATAACAAAGAAATAACGTAAATCTTTATGTGCAAATATTCTGTATAACAACAGAATACATTTATTAATGCTCTTTCTTATCATCATCATCATTTTCATAGACCATATGCCATATTATCAAAAAAAAAGGATCACACAAGAAACGATATATACGAAAAATGCTATTCCATATTATAGTCAAATATGGGCACGGCCAAGCGTGACGGAATTTCATTTTTTTAACTTGTGTGACCTATATCTCCTCAATAACAAGAGATATATTTGTGAAATTTTTACCATATATGAAGGTTAACTAGGTCTACCAGCAGTAACAATTTCACTGACTTATGACAAGCCATAACGGAGCTATATGCAAAACATTGTTCGTTACGGAATTTCAAAAATGGACAAAATTTTGAGGGTGGTCTCAGATTTTGACTTTTTTTTTCGAAACTAACCGGCTCATAAATAAACGTTCTATACATAAGTTGTTCAGTTTTTCACGAGCTATCGGAATATCACGTCATTTTCTTTGTGATACATCCCCTTCAAATAAGACGACTTGAAATACTGAGCGTTACGGAATTTCAGCTGTTACGGAATTTCGCCGTTTTTCTCTAGTTCTGTGAGGGACAATTTAGTGACATTTTTATAATAGTTTTAACTATGAAATCTAACTTTTTTCATTCTGTAACGATTAAGAGTATTGTTTTCTATAAATCGATTAGTTCATTTTCATGTTTGTCTCACAATTTCATAGAAAACTTCATCCATTATTTTGACAAAAATGAAAATTTTCAAAATAAAAAAAAGTGAAATTTCATGATTATTCGTGTTTTAAAACTCGCAGGAACGGAAAATGATATTTGTTTTATATGTCAGCTGAGTAATTCAGAATGTCGAACAAACTTAATAATATTTTAAGATCATAGTTTCTGTTAAGAAATTTTTTTTCTATATATTACTGATTTTAACCTTCACCAGCGAAGGGGACCGTTAGCTGGCCGTGCCCATATATAATATCATGATTTTTTGTAAGTTACTCTAAGAAAATAAAAAAAGTACGTCTCGACAGAAAAAAAATCTTTATTCTTTATAAAATAAAGATAAAGATTTTCGTTACTTTATTCTTTAGTATAAAGTAAAATAAAGATAAAGTAACACTTCTATTCATACTCTATATGAATAACGAGAGTGGGAATCTATCAATTTATTGTGTACGTGATATATTAGTAAGAATAAATATTTTCTTATGACTTACCTTCTTTTAATATGCTATCAAAGATTATTCTTTATAAAATGAGAAAGCAAGTGAAGATTTGATCATTTTTTTACTAACTGTCCTCACATCAACAATAGTGTTTTACGCAACACCATATAATGTTGCAATTAAGTACTGAGAGATTTACATTTTATAGAAGTTGCCAGTCTATAATATGACGTCATTGGGTATTTTTTATCAGAGAAGCATAGTAAAAACAGTGCGTTTCGTTTTACTTTATCTACCTCCATTTTTTTTGTTTCTATGCTTGCATAGTTGTATATGAGAAAGAAACTAGGATCATGAAACTGATTCTTTTACTTCTTTTTTCTGTTACAACCGAAAAAATATGGAAGAAATAAATTAAAATGCGTAAATACACAATCGAAAAGACCTAAAAAGAAATAATAAAAATCTAATAAACTGAAAGAGCACAAATGCTCTGAAGTATATTCTTCTGTTTAATGAAGATTAAGAGTGTGAGTAAAGGAAAAGATGCATTCACACTCCTCCATCCTCAAGAATTGAGAAGTATAGAACATATTAAGTCCAATATAGTTGCTGATTAACTACATAATAATAAAGCTTTGTTATTGATACCTTATGTTGTTTGAAATACTATAGTAGGAATTGGTGTAAATGTAAAAAAACATGGTACAGAATTTTTGTAACAAAGGGTATATGAAAAAGCACTTGACAAGTCTCTTTCTTATTACGACATAAAATTTACAGTAATTATCCATCATTAGATTTATTGAATTTTTCTATTTATTTTTGAAAAGAAACTTAATATTCAATTTGTATATTATCATCTTTTTTTTTAATAATATTAAATATAATTTGTTAATATGTCGACTACGAGATATAACTTATTTGTGTTTCTCATCATTTCATCACCACATGGCAAGATATAATGATAAAATCTTTGTTATTTTCAATTAAAATTAAGTTCTTTCACAACAAATTCTTTTAATAATTCTATTAATATTTATCTATTTCACATTTTCAAATATATTCAGTATTTAGAAAAAATAAATCAGTATAGAAAATATAGTTTAAAAAATTAAAAGTTTTAATGAGTTTTAGATGTAATAGAATTTATGTTATAACTATCAGCTCTTTTCTAATAAGACTATTATTCATCTATTTCAATTTCTTATCAATCCACTCTATATCTCTGAAAAAAATATTTACAGAAATAATTTTACAATTTATTGTATATGCTTAAATAAATGCACGTATAGAATATTTCTTTACTTGTATAAACGCGTTGTAGATTATGATTAGATATCGAATGTAATGAAAAGTACATCTACCAATAAAAAATCACTAATCGTAACATTGAACCTAACAATTTTATAAAATCAGTATAATTCACATATAAAGAGTCAATACATCAGATTGAATGTAGGTCTATAAAACTTTGCAGTCAGTGGACTTTAGCAGTTACAGAAACTTTTTTGGATAATGTTCCTTATAAATATTAAAAAATAAAATTTTTTATGATCGAGTACTTCTATGATTTCTTGATTTAATACCATTAGTTGTAAGTAAATCTATTAAAATATAATCGCATAATAATTCTCTTGCAGTTTTCTTCCATTATATATAATATCTGATTGGGGAATTAGACATTTGTGAAAATCATATTGAGATATGGTCTTAGCAAATCATAAAACTAACCTCTTCATAATAGTAATTATGAGATTAACTTGTTATATGATCTCAAACAATTAATACATTCAGAATTTAATCAAATTTATTATATGTTAAGAATTTATTTCATTTTAGTTTGAATATATTCTTGTCATTATTATAAACATATTGATTGATATGTGAAATGGGAATAATAATGCATAGCTATAGACTGACAAATGCTTCTATAAATAAAACATAATTATGCTACTCGTCTATAGAAAACTATTGACATAATGTCATAAAAAGATTTCATGAACAATTAAAAATAATCATAAAATAAATTGAATTTCAAAAGAAAAAAAGAATTTTTTTTCCTTTATAAACTATAGTACTTTCCATAATATTTCTTATAATCTGTAATATATATTATTTTTCTTTCTGAATGAAGTCATTTAATTTTAATGAAAATAATAAATATACTTTGGAAGAAAATGAAATTATTCTAGAATTCATGAATGTGAATGATTTCTTTTTGAAATAAACATTTTTTTAAATAAATAGTATTGCCGAGTTTGTATAATGTACTTATTTATCTTTAATTAAGTAAAAAATACATTTTACAAGACTTGCCGGTTGTATATTTTCACTTTTATTTTTTCTTGTTAGAATTCATTTTAATGAGAATTTAGCGTGTCATTCTTGCGTTCTTGACGTGACAGAAGAAAAAAAAAAAAAGCAAAAAAAAATTTTTCTTGAAAAATGAAAGAAAAAGTTCTTTTGTAACAATAAAAAAAAAAGAATTTCTTTTAAAGTCAATTATGAATTATTGTAAGCATCTTTTTACGCGAAAAAAACTTTTTCGATATCTATCTTATCTTATTGGAATTATTATATTAATATCATGTAGTTATAATCTAGGTAAATAAGACTATCAATGAGATCATTTATTTAATACCATAGATAATTTCCTAGGTAAACAAATTCCATTACATGTTCAACAATCGTTATCTACAGATCTAATAAGTAATGGTGAAATATCAAGTCTTTCATTACCAATTATATCAATCTATCGTAATAGATCTGTTGATGATAAATGTGCAAGTATGAAAAGACCATCTCGTCAAAGTCTTTCAAATATTATTCGTAATGATAAAATGTTAAATTATCTCGGTTATGTTCTTCGATCACATTCATTATTTTATTGTTCAGTTCCAAAAGTAGCAACACGAACTTTATTAACATTTATGACTTATCTTCATATACGTGATGATCTAATACCATTAATAACAAATTATTCTTCATCAAATATATTTAATTTTAATACAAATTCAAATTTTAAAAAGTCTTCCGATATGATTAATGCCGATTATTTTAAGCGAATACTTTACCAATCAACTAATGTAAGACTAAACATATTCTTCTTAATATAAATTCTATTTATTTAGAATATTTCTTATAAATCGATAAATGATCCATCAATTCTTCTTAATTCATTTTTATCATATATAATGATAATAAATAAACCCAATTTATCAACAATTGATTTATGGTCAATGTATCAAAATAAAGCTCTTCCTTTAATTCGTCTTCGTACATTATCTAATCCATCAATAATATTTTCATCCAAATTTACTCGTGTGATGTTTGTTCGTCATCCACTTGAACGTTTAGCATCAGCATATACGGATAAAATAACTCCACTTACAAATCCTCCATTTTCATTATATGATAGTCTTCGTCGAACAATTTGTCGAAAATATGCTTCATTTTATTTAACAGATGATCAACGAATGGCTTATCGAAAGACAAAAGGTTTATCAAAATTAAAAAGTGAACCTTGTCAAAAAATAATTCCAACATTTGAACATTTTATTGAATATCTTATGTCTAGTTCAACATTTAGTGATGTTCATTGGCAACCTTATTCGAAATTATGTCAAGTTTGTTTATTTAAATATAATTTTATTGGAAAATATGAAACAATGGAAGAAGATCTTATGAAATTAATCGAACAACTTGGATTAAATGGAAATGATTGGAATCAGAAAAGTTATTTTAAAACGGGAAAAACAAAAGAAAATTATAAATCTTTATATTCAAATTTAACTAATCAAACAATTTGTAAATTAAAATATATTTATAAAGATGATTTTAAATTATTTGATTATAAAGTAGAAGATTATTTAACAAGTCGAAAAAATATTCAATGTTCACAAAGTTATAAACAAAAACTTAGTAAAAAACGTCCAAATAAAGAAAATTAACTCAAATATTTTTTTTTATTTTTTACTTTTTAAAATATATAACAATGTTTTCAGATATGCTTAGGAAGATTATATATATATATGTGTGTGGATAATTTCTATAAATAAAAATAAATATGATAAAAGATAATTCACCGTTAAGTATTATTATAAAGTTTTTTTTTCGTTCTTTTGCTTTTGAATGATTCTTTTCAAGGTGTGTGTAGAATTATTTTGTATAATCAACCTTGAAATCCTTTATTTTGACTGACTAATATTTATTATTGTATGAAATTTAAAATAGTTGGCTTTACCATTGAAACAAAATGTTTTTACCAGCCACAATAGAAATAGAGAGCTAATAAATCGCTATAGTTTTCACAATAGACCGTATTCGAAACTAAAATATTCTCGTATGATGTTCTTTTAAGCCCAGGTGCTTCACTCTAAATATAGCATCCTATTGGAGTATGTCGGAAATTAATCAAATCCGACTATTCTTTCTCCAATACTCGTTTCACAGACAGGGGCGTAAGTCAGGTGTCAGAGCAGGGGGGGAAGGTGTAGGTGGGGGCGTAAGCCTAGTTTTTCTATTTCAATGGTCAAAAAAAGTAAACTTTTTAGAAGCAGGGGGGGCGCAAACACCTTTTTCCTATTAGTTTTCGGAAGCAGAGGGGGGGGGGGGTATGCGCCCCACGCGCCCCCCCCCTATTTACGCCACTGTTCACAGACGCGGTGATAGAACATAAAATCAAAAAACAAACTGACATTCATCATATCTGCCACAACTCGATAATCAACAATAAAATAGAGCTAAAAATTTTCATACCTTCTCGAACATCGCACTTGTATACAACGTTAAAACATAAGATTGACACAATCCTAAACATTACCATCAATCCGTCAGTTAGGTCAAATCTTCAACACTTTTTATTTCAGAGATATAAGAATTAAACTAGACATTAAATTATGTTTGTAGGATTATTTTAAGTTTAAGATTGTCCTGTTATTTTTTATTACAAAAGAGAAAATATTTCATTCTATTTTTGTTGTCTGAATGTAACGGTTATGCTCATGTTTCACTCTCACGATAGACATTTACATACCGGAAACAATCAACTTAATATGAACTTTTTTCCCCAGTTTAAATAAGCACTCTTTGTGAAGTTAGATAATGAGTTTTTATATTCTAGTAGTTCAAAAATATTTTGTACTGAAAAAGGACAACATATTTTCTCATAATAAAGTAGTAATACTTATTTTCATATGTTAGAAGTCAAGAATACATTACAAAATTTCACTATGAAAAATAAAATTTTTCAAACTGTCAAATTCACTTATGATAATATAAAATAATTAATATTTAAATTTTGTTTATTTTAAATTGAAAAAAAGAATTAAATTTATATTTTTTTATGTCTAATAAAATATGGGTTAAATTACAATATAATCAAGGACAAAGTTTCAAACAACAAAGTTTTGTTCTCTCTCTTGTTTATTGTTATTTTCTGATGCATGAAAATATGCATGAATGATCAATAAGCATATATTATAATTATTGATCATATCAATATTTTCCTTTAGATTCCTTGAGAATAAGCTGATGTTTTTATAGACTCATAACAATTATCAAGTACTCTTTATTGAATTATCAAAAAAAGAAATAATAATGTCAAATAAATAACTATATATGATTAATGATTTGTTATTAATCTACATAAATCGATAGAATAAAAAATATTGTCAAAATAAATTTTATTAAATAAAATTTCGCATTTTTAATATCAAATTATTTTTTATATTTCAAATTAATGATTAAATATTAAAAATATTTCTGATTGTATGTTCATATAATGATTTATCGCTAAGTCTGATAATTCCTATCAAATTCATATCAAAGGTCACAATAACAAGATTGTTTTTTATGTTGATAACATCATGAGATATCTATCAAATACTTGTCAATTTTAGCAGGTTCATGAACAGTAGTAATCGGTTTCTATAAATGATAATGTGTAAAAGATCAAATTCTCATAATATAAATCTCCACAAGGACAATATATAGATACAGTTTGTTCTTATATACAATATTGTTTTATTTCGTTCGGAAGTATTTATTATATTTTTAAAAAAAGAAAAAGTTTATTTCATAAATAAAATTTTAAAAAGAATAAAGACATGGAGTAAATTACTTAAATACTATTATAAAATCCTATACAATATATAAAATAAATATATCACTTTATAATTTTATAAATTATGAGTGTAAAAGAAATTCAATAAATGCATCATAAGTAATTGAACCTGTTTTATCTGGATCAGCTTCTTCAATCATATCATCAGCTTCATCTTCAGTTAATTCATTATCCCATAACTAAAAAATAAAATTATTTTTCTTAATAATTTTCTTTTCTATATTTTGAACATACTCGAACAAATCTTTTCAGTTCATTTGCATTAATTGTTCCATTTCCATCTTTATCGAAAACACTAAATGTTCCTCGAAGTTCTTCTTCTAAATCTTGTTGATTAATTGGTGTTGTCATCATTGATATAAATTCTCTCATATCAATTCCATTTGAATGATCATCATCAGCTGAACCAAGTAATAATTGAGCTTCATTTTTAGTTAATTTCATATCTTTGAATAAGAATAATGCAAAATGCGTTTTTTTTAATATTCTCAGTCATTTGAATCTACCTGCCGATTTTGAAACTCGAATAATATCATCTGTGGCAACATAACCTTTTGATTGTGTATCCATAATACTAAAAGCAGCTTGAAAATCTTGTATTTTTTCAGCTGATAATTCACTAGGTAAAGATAAATTTTGAGCACGTGTACCACCTGCTAATTCATTTTCATTAGTATTATTCATTTTTCGTCTAAAAATGGATTACATATAAAGCTTATCTTGTCTATTTCTTTTTTCATTATTACAAATATCTTATATACTAAATACACACACACATGTATTAAAGAAAAAAAGAAGATAAGCATTGAATAACATGTGAAATATGAAAAGAAAAAACATATAATCGACTCGTAAAAAAACCAGACAAATCAAAAATTGAATTTTTCTTGTTCATACAGCAAGACATACATGAAGATGAATGAGATAATTTGTTTATGTTTTAGATGTATATGTATAAATAGGAGATTTTTTATTGTATGTTGCCGTTTATTTGGGAATGAAAATGCTCTGTTCAAGTCTGATTGTTGTTTATTTAATGGCTTGTAAAATTCCATTAATTTTTCTCGATGTTAATCGACCATCTTCTTCAATTGTTTCTGTTGTTTGTCCATTTTCTTCCACTCTAAATATTAAATAAAAATAAATTTTCTTTTTATTTATTTATTTATACCTTGTTGTAACAATACGACGCCCGTTGATTATTTTAGTTGATTTTGTTGTTTTTTTAGCTACTGGTCGTGAATTTCCATTACTAAAATAATAAATTTTGTTCAATTAAAATATTTTTGTTTAAAAAGAAGACAAACCCAAATGAAACATTAAATGATGATATAGATCCAGCATGATGTCCACCAAAATCGTGGTGTCCAAATGGATCATGATGATCAAATAGAGACATTCTCATTGGAGAAAAAACATTATCAAATAAAGCCATTTGTTGTCGATGTGGATCACGTCGTGATGAAGATGATGATGATGATGATGTTGGACGGAGATGTCCAAAAGGATGATGATGAAGATGATGATGACGACTATGTAAATCAGCAAATGGATTCATACCGAAACCTATAAAAAGAAAAGAATTTATTTAAAATTTTTCTAGGCATTTCAATTATTTAATATCATGCGCAATTCAAATATCATTCAGGGAAATTTCCAAAAAAAAAAAAGACAAATCGGGTTTTTTCTTCTCTCTATCTCACCAAAATGAAATACATGTCGCGTCCATTTGCCTGAAAAATCGTGTTGAAAATAATAGATATCAAATTGATATATTCATTTTATTCTAATTTAATATAATTTTAAAATCGATAAGCTTACCGAAATCATCCTCCATGCCGAAATGTGACATAAATTGTTCGAATATATCAAATGGATTGTGAAAATGAAATGTACGATTAAGAAAATCTTCGGAAAATCGAGAATAACCATTATTTGGTGAATATCCACTATTTCCATGATTATTTGATAAACCAGCTCTACCCAATTGATCATATTTTCGACGTTTGTCTTCTACAATTAAATTACAAATAATATTATATGATTGACACTAACTAGAACTTACTATCAGATAATACTTCATAAGCTTCAGAAATTAATTTAAATTTTTCTTCAGCTTGTGTTTTATTTGAGAGATTTTTATCTGGATGCCACTAAAAATAAAAGATTATTTATATACAAAAAATCTATCATATATGTATTAAGATATTTACTTTTAATGCTAATCGACGATATCTAAAGAAGAAGAGACAAATTTGTTGATAGAAATGTATTTTGTAGGAAAAAATCTACTTACGATTTTTTGATTTCATCTTCAGTCGCTGTTTTTTGAACTTCGAGTATTTCATAAAAATCCGTCATTGATTAATAAATAGATAAACTAAGAAATAAATATTTATAAATATTCTAGTTTTTTTTTCTCATTGTTTATGATATCCTCTTCTTCGTCGTCGTCTTTTTTTTTCTTCATCAGATACCTTATTTCTACATATCTCGTTTTTCTCCGAAAGCAAACAAGCCTACGCACTTCTTATGCATTGGTCTAACGATTGATGTTTAGTTGTATGAGTATCTTGAGATGAAGAACGACAAAGAAAAAGAAAGATAGAATTACTTCTTGTTTTCTTTGATTTTTTTCATGTCAATCATGATCTTTTCCTTTTTTCTTTTTATTATTATTATCATAAATGATTAATTGATATCCACTTCTTACCTTGAAATTGTTCAATAATTTTGTTCAGAGAAAAAAAAAGAGCCAAACTTTCACGTCACAATAATTTTGTTATTATTGTGATGATCAAGTTAAATTAATTAATAAATATGTATATATATACACTGTATTGATATACAAATGTATTGATGTTGTTTAATGATAAATATTTAATTTATTATTTTAATTTAAATAGAAATATTATTAATAGAAGAAATTGATAATTTAGAAAGAAATAATAATAATAATCAATCTAAAATAAATCATAGGAAAAATATTTGTTTTTATTAATAATGACCATCAACAATTGATGACATAACATTATGGCTATCTTACAATGTTTCATTCATACAGACACTTGCCTTTTTTCTTTTTCTTCTCGTTTTTCTTCATCGCATTCTCTACTGTTTTCTCCAAATATTCATCGAAAGAGATAAATGATCCAAAGTATTGTAGACAAGTTCGCCTGCTGTGCGTATTTGACAGAGTTACATAGATTTTCTCTCGTTAATCTCGAAGGATCAATAAACATCCTCGTATACGTCAATGGTTCTTTAGGAACATTTTCTAGTGACAATCAATGAATAAAAATTTTTTCTTCGAAACATATTATAAAATCTTTTTATATCCCAATAACAACATATGTTTCTTTTATATTATGTAAAAAAAACGGAACCTTCTCTATCAAATAAATACTTATCAAGGATCTTTTTTCGTCTACTTCAAATTAAATAATAAAGACTTTGCCATGCAATACAATAGAATCAATCCCATAGAATACATACAATATTGTTCTTAAATGAGAAATAAATTTATTTGACTCGCCTACATATTATTGATCATCATTTCCTTTAGATTAAGAGACGAGGCGGTGCTATATCGAACAATATTCTGATGTCACAAACGAAACGAAGGACAAATAAACAACAGTTCAAAGAATTCCATTCGAGAAAATTTCAACCAATAGAAATTTATATAGAATGCATTAATGTGTCAAAGTATGTGTCATGTGCTTCGATGTGCGCATTGTTAAGAAACATATCATTATCTAATAAATTGTCGTATGATACACATAAAATACTAGTTTTAAAAAAGTTACTTTACAAATCAAGTTTAAATTCTTATTAAAATGCGTTGGGAATTTAAAGCAAATAATCCTTATGAAAGTCGACGAGCTGAAGGTAAATATATCATATAATTTAATGAAAAGATTATTCTGTTTTTGTTTAGGTGAACGTATTCGTCGAGAATATCCAGATCGATGTGCAGTTATTGTTGAACGAGCACCTAATTCACGTGTATCTGATCTTCCATCAAAGAAATATTTAGTACCGAATGATTTAACGGTAAAATTTCTTTTCACTTTAAACAATAAATTTATCTCTCAATTAGGTTGGACAATTTTATTTCTTAATTCGTAAACGAATACAACTTCGACCAGAAGATGCACTATTTTTCTTTGTTAACAATGTAAAAATTAATAAAAATCTTATTCTTATATATATTTTATCTTTCTACTTTATAGACAATTCCAAGTACATCGATGACTATGGGATCTCTTTATCAAGAACATGTTCGTATTTGAATTCAATTGATTTTTTAATAGAATTCTATCTGGTATTTTTTTTTGTAGGCTGATGAAGATAAATTTTTATATGTCGCTTATAGTGATGAATCAACTTATGGCTAAATCAAAAAAATTCTCCTTTTTTTGTACTTCAATGATGATTTAAACGACTCTATGTTGGAAATATGGTCATTTTTTTGTATATATCTATATATATTTGAAAAATATTCATGTAACTTTGTCTGTAGTATTTTCTCTTTTTCTTTTGTCAGCATTGATATTCAGCATATTTATTTGAGATAATTAACACGCTTTATATATATATGTAATAAAAAAGTTTAAATGTAAATAAAATAAAAATATTTATAAATCTCATCGAATATAAAAAAAAATGAGGTCATGTGAAGTACATATGACTAATCAATGGGAAGAAATATATGAGTCATATTTGACTACATAGAAATATTATTCAAAATAATAAACTGGTCAATTTAATCGATATTAACTTCTTAGAGTGTAAATTTGTTAAATCTAATCAACTATAAAATACTTCCGTTTTCTTAAATTTCTATTGTACTTACATAATAGTGTGACTCACTTCTATATCTTTTTTTTTTCTTTCTTCTCTTCTATTGTATTGTCTAGATGATGTCATCATCATCCTCATCAACAATAACAATATCTCAGTTTGTGGTAGCAAATTCTAGTTAGTGCAAAATTATTTATAATAAAGCTTTTGATTATGTAAGTAAACAATAAAGCTAATAGGATGAACATCAAATACTGCAAAATGTGTAATGTATAATGAATTTACGAATAAAAAATATGATCTAGCAGAATTTGATTATCGACATATGGAGTATATTAATCATGGTGATTTATTCAAGTTTTCTTTCTCAGAAATGAAATTGTAGAATCATACTTCTTAACTCGAATATGTTATATAGAACAATGGTTTACTATCAATACAATGAGATGCATATATATATACATAATTTGAATAATAGATTAACAATTATTTAAATTAGGATAAAATACGTCCGATATGATCATGTATGAAATCAAAACGTTTTTTCACTAATCGAAGTTATACAAATATATTCTTTACACAATATATAATCCATATTATGTTTTATCTATATTTACTTTTTAAAAATCGATCATCACGTTTCTAAATTTAAGAAATTGATAAAGTCACCAAACTCATAAACGATATAGAATGAAGATAAACAGGATGCTGATCATAATAAATTTTAGATCATCGGAATAACATAAAATCACGTTGAAAATCTATAACCTATTAAACAAAGATTTTAAAGCATTTAATCCTTTCCGACCGGATGTTGCCAAATAGCAATATATTGCCTTAGGCGGGCACGGTATTTTTTCTAATAATAAATATACTATTGATGATGCCATATTCGTAAATTTCTTTTCAGTTGTTTTAGAGTTTTGTGAATAATTGTGAGGATTGTGTGTAAAAAAACAATAATTAACGTTTCATTTCGAATATTTTTCTCATAAGATGATTCAAGAATATATGAGTAAAAAATCAAATATTAATGTACTGTAATCGATCATTTTCGATTTTATTAAAATCAATATCATGAATCACATTTAATATCAACCTATATTTTTCTCATGATTATGAAAAATGATATGAATCATATAGATTAGACATGTACAGGGTAGGGTGAGGGTAGGAGATAAGCTTACCTTGCGCATGTCTAATATAGATTATTTTCAATTAATTTACAAAATTTAACGAATAAATATAATTTAACATCAGATAGATTTTTTTTATCCAATTTTAAATAATCAAATATACCATTAAACAAATACTATTCCAATAATTTAGCCTAAATTTATCTTACAAAAATACATTGTATCAATTTTATTATCGTCAAATTTTCTGTATATAAATACTAAATTAAATGATCATTGATTGAAATATTCATATATATTTGATTTAAATACCGGAGAAATCTAAATTTAGAAGGGAAATTTCTTAATTTCCTAAAATTGTAATAAGCATATTCATGATTAACACCTATGTTTAAAATTCCAATAAGAAATAGTAAAACTGTAACGCAGTTGTCTATTACTTTAGGAAATAGTATATAAAAATACATGAGTATACCTCAGGTTTTCTGTATTTTTGATAAATTATGAAGATTCATATTAATATAATGTTTGAACTAAATCTTAAAAATAGAAATGTCTTATGTAGACATGAAGTCAGAGAAATATAGTAAACTATTTTTGTAAAGCTATTGGAAATGCAACAAGTCAAGAGTAATACATTTGTTAATTAATTTTTTTTAAAGAAAGCATTGATATTATATATATATCATAGGTTTACTTTTCTAACTCTAACATAATCTTTGTATAAATATGAGTGCACAAACTGAAATTCAGATAATTCAAGGACAACTTCTTCGTTATATACCTTTAACAACAATCATAATTGGTACAGTTGGAAATATTCTTAATTGTTTAATATTTACACGTCGAAAACTTAGTCGCAATTCTTGTTCGATCTATTTTCTTGCATCAAGTATTGCAAATTTCTTTGCAATATATTTTGGCTATCCACCACGTTTATTAGGTACATTTAATATTCAACCTCCAGCATCTCAATTGGATTTATATTGTAAAATAAAAACATTTTTAACTTATATTGGATTAGCTTCTTCAGCATGGTTTATAGTTGGTGCATGTGCTGATCGTTATGCATCAAGTGCTGCAACTGTTCGTATAAGATCATTTAGTCAAGTGAAAGTAGCTCGTCGTGTTGTTTTAATCATATCAATTCTTGTTTTTCTTGATTACTTTCAAATGAATTTCTGTTTTTATGGAGCCATTCAAGCAGCTAATTGTTCTACAGTATCAAGATTTTGTAGTGTGTGGAACGACTATAATTTACTTATAACTTTTAGTTTATTACCACCAATATTAATGTTCATATTTGGTTGGTTGACAATTCGAAATGTTCGTACTACTGGACATTTACGAAGAGAAACAAATGTTAAAGATCGACAACTAACTGCAATGCTTTTTATTCAAGTTATTAGTACTGCTATACTTACATTACCAATATCAATTCAAAAACTTTATTCAGAAATCACATTAAATCAAGTGAAAAGTCAACAATCGAAATTAATCGAAAGTTTCTTTGCTACTTTTGTTGTTTTATTAGCATTAATGAATACATCAACATCATTTTATTTATTTACATTGACTGGAAAAATCTTTCGAAAAGAATTAAAAAATTTAATTTGTTCAAGACAAAGACAAGCTACGATTGAACCAACAATAGCAACGACGAACGCTAAAAAATAACTTTTTATTTTGAACATTCATTGAGGATGTGGGTGTCACATGAATAAAGTAGAATACCCACTGCACATCCACACCCATATCCACACATACACTTTATTACTAAAACGTAATCAAAAAATAAATAAATTCTATTTCTTATCTCAGTGTAGCCTTTGTCGTCATTATTTTGCATTGTCTTTCTGCAAATGAGTAATTTCATCACATTGAGAAGTTGATAACATATCACAAATATAAACTCATGTAAAACAAAAGAAAAAAAGCAACAACATATTTCTTTCTACCAACATAAAACGCCACACAAAGCCATTGTCATAATTTTAACCAATGTCGAATAAAATGCCTGCTACGTTTCTTACATTACCGGTGGAACTTGTCTACCGAATTCTGGATCATCAGACTGGTTATACAATGCTGTGCTCAATGCAAAATGTATGTCAACGTTTCAATGCAATCCTCGACAGTTACTTTCGATACCAAGTAAAAAATATTTTAATCATGATTATCTATCTTTCTGCTATCTTCGAATTACTTTCCACTCTTACAGCTTATATCTCTGAGAAAATGCGTGAATAGAATAATAACGAAGCATATTAATTCCCCAAGCATTAACCTCCTCAAACAGTTTATATACAGCACCGAAGTATTAGGAAAGAAATATGAAAATATACATAAAAACAATCTTTTCTTTTCTTTTCTTTTGTTCTAAACACTCCACTGCTCCTACATCGTTTTTGTTCTTTCATGTGCAATATTAAGAAGAGAAAGGAAAGAAGAAATTGCTCTTACCTGTATATCTAGACTATTATTCATATGTTTTTCGCGTTGTAAGCGCCTTCTTAGTAGAGACTAAAAGTCTCACAGGAGTTGTAGGTGAAATAGATAGATCAATTATCCCTCATCTGATTGGTTTTGCAGTCAGAAGAGATCTAGTATTATTTTACATCAGAGATTGGCCGACTACAAGTATAAGTACTTTCTACTAGCTTCATTTACATTGTACTTTACTTAGTAAATTTTTACTCAAGTATTTTGTACTTAGTATCAATAAAAAGTACAACTATACTTAAGTACTAGTACTTTAGGTATGCATGCTAAATAGTTTGATTTTTAGAGCATAAGTCAATGTTAACATAGTCTTAAATAACACCTAGATACACAACATTAGTAAGATATTATTAAACTTTTGTCTGTCAGTAAAGCAAAAAAATAGATATTTGTTCTTCTCTTTTGTTTTTATTTTTACATTAAAAAAATACAAAAAAAAATAAACGAAACATCGTCAGTCGAGGTCATCAAAAAAGTTAAATGAATCCCCAGGCTCACCCACCAACTCCATTAGCTGTTTCAGCTCCATCATTAATGTTATCTGATAGTGCTGGCATTATATTAACCACCGGTGTTGTGTTGTTTGGTGATCGGTATGGTGCCCTTTTTGCCGCTGCATTTGATACCACTTTGGTGGCCAATCATGTTACTTGTCTCGCTATACTTACCTTTCGGCGATCTGATGATGGTCTCGTCGGAGGATCGACGCGCGTTCTCTTTTCCACTCGTACCCTTGTACCACTATCTTGCTCTTCCTCTTCTTACTAGCTTCGCTACATCAGCAGAGGTGCTCAAGTCAAAGTGTACAAGGGCCTGGACTCCTCCTAATATCTTGCCATCAGCAGCAGCGATGTTGTCTTCTTCAAGATGAATAGTATCTTCCGATGTGTTCTGGAATCTTAATTTGAATGAAGAAGGTGTCGAATTTTTGTAGCATAAGTCTATTCACCAGTAAAACAGCGCATGACATCTGAATTAACCTTACACATTACGTAATAATAAAAACTACGATAACGTAGTATGTAAATGACAAGATAAATATCGTGCACCAATGAACCGTAACCGTTCTCTCAGTTTATACATCTACCACAAAGATCGTACTATGAAAGTCTCTTGAATATTACTTCTAAAGCAAAATAATGATTTTCCATTGAAAAAACGTATCCATTAACTATTCATAAATTACCTGCTCATCTGGGAGCGATCTAAAATAAAAAAACAAAAAATACTACGGAATACAAATAAAGCAATAGCGTCAGCATAGAAATACTTATTTTTAAGAAACTGTTAAAGTACATTTACTTGTACTAAACAATTTTCAGTTTTACTGAGATTTTTAAGTACAAAGTATAAAAAGTAGCAAGTATTTTACTAAGTGTCCTGTCTATGTTTTACATACTACTAATTTTTCCCGCTTGATATGAACACATATTACTCCAGACAGGCTGTACTTCGATTTCATTAGCGGCAGATGCCAGAACAAAGAAATGTGATACCACTTAAACATTTCCACAGCTACGAACAACAGTACCGTGATTCAAAAACTGGCTACCAAAAGAAAATTGAAAAAACGCAAAAAACTTAAGAGACATTAATAACTTAGGCTTATACCATCTTAAGACTCAAAGTAGTGAAGAAATTCAAGAGATATTGATAAGATGATAGAGTAGATGAGAGTGAGAAACTAATGAGCTCAGATGAACAGAATTTATGACGTTTCACACGACATCTTATAAGATCCGACCATCCGGCAAAATCTTGTAGGAATCTAGGGAACAGAATCATATCGAATTCGGTTAGCTCAAAGCTGAGGGCACAACAGATAACGTCAGCGTGACTCGAAGAACGTAATAGTCACAACAAATAATGTGAACGCAATTATATTTCTTAAGTTACTGTAACTGCCACATTTTCTAGAATTTCTTAGAATTTGTTTAGAACCCATCAACTTTCTCCGAAAGTTTTAATTCCATATATTCCTATCTCTTGAACTCCTACAATTTTATTAACTGTTCATATTCTTAATCATATGTGTATCTCCTTACGAGCAAGTAATCATCAGAAAGAAGCATGAGACAATATTTTGCAGATGTACGACTAAATTTACTGAAGAACTATTGAACTGTAAATATTTCTCTCATAGCTAAATATCAGAATAAAACCTCGTCTACTAGTGCACTAAATTCAACATCTATATTATACTATCTAAGTTTTCAATAACAATACAGAATAATTCGTTGACGTGTAACATAATAGAAGCTTCTCCGATTTGACTTGATTAATTGAATGTTACTGAACAATCATTCAGCAAGAATAAGCGAATACATCGAGCAATATCAGATTATAAATTTTATCCGCAGTGGCCAGATTAACTCCTTCACCCCCATAATGTTTTCCTCAATGATCCAACTCGCGCAAGTGCAGATTTGTAAAAAAAGAGAACCCCCACTTTTTACCGTCATCCTTCTTCAGAAGATTTGACTAACGCCTCCTAAAATAATACGGTAACTACTCATCCGTCTGTATCTGTTCAATAAACTTATCTATACTTTTCATAAAGACACTTACCACATTAGATCTCAAGCGCAATCAAATCGGCAATGTTGAAGCACAGCGTTTAGCAGATGCATTACGAAATAATACGGTAAATATCATTCTCTTCCTCATATGTTCCGTATACCCATCTACATTTTTTCACACAGACACTTAC